GCAGCTTCCCTCGGCCGCGTTTCTTCGGTCATTTTCAGTTCGCACATGCATCGCACGATCATCACCACTTCTGCACGTCTCAGCCTCTTAAGGCCCGTCCACACGAGTACGCTCGCGACGTAGTTGACGCAACTTTTTTGACGCCGGCGTAAATTCGCGTGACGCAGAAGACGTAAAAATGAGTTCGCTCCTGTTCAGCTTTTACGTCCGTAACGTGAACGAACAGCCAATAGCCGACCGCGTTCTTATCACGTGTTATAATCACAAAACCTTCTTTCTTACCCGTTTTAATATGGCGTCAAAACCACACAGAGATGAGTTTTTGCTTAGAAATATCATAACTTTATACAGCAATAAAATAATCAGCATTGTTCACGCCCATCTTCAGATTTCTCTAACCATATATATTGGTATAAATTTCAAATTCTCATTAAAGGGAAAACTGTATATTTATAAAGCAATGATCCGACCAGTATATCTATATGCTTCACCTGCTTATAACACCGTAAGTAATAGGAACCTAAATGAATTACAGTTTCTACGAAATCAAAGTTTCTGCCTTACAAAATTCTCCTTAATTATTATAAACATTGGCTATATCATGTGCAATAAAAAGCTCTATAAATATCCCAATATTAAATACACCAAAAACTAACTTCAGCAATATAACAACTTCTAAAATAAAGCAGTTGACTGTAAAAGAGTATTCAATAAAATACAATTACAAAATTTTGGAGGAAAGTAACAACTTGTGTCATACAGCAATCATTTATTGAAGTTTAATTAAATTGTCTTTGCAGTGACTTCTACTTGTTACATTCTTATACCAAACACTGCTATCACAGATAGTTGAGTGGTCAGTGCGCTGCTTTGCAGATGGAAAGGTGGCGAGTTCGGACCTACTGTACGTAAATAATATATAATTCAGTTAGCTTTTTCTCATTTTGAAACGTGTTTCTTAATATTTAATCATAAATCATTACATTCTTATTTTACCTATTATTATTATTATTGTTTTCATTTATTATTTTATTCATTATTATTATTATTGTTTTTAATTTAGTTTAAAAATGGCATTGCAAATACTAGAAACCCTTATGTAATAATATATTTGCATCTCTTTATCATATATCATCTATAAATTATCTCTTTATTTTTACATTATTGCATTTACATTATTACATTTATCATGCACATAATTTCTCATAAACTGTCCAAAGTTTGAACCTCATTCTAAATTCAAAAATAAATAAAAACAAAAACAAAAGACCAAGGGAGGGGGAGTTTAAAAAATATTAAGTTGGTTTTATTATATGGTGGATGGTGTATATAAAGAGAATTAAGTAATTTAATTCTCTTTACATACTGTATTCCAAACCAATTTTATAAATCCTAATTTTCATACAATATAGAATTTGCAAGTCTGTCAAACTGGTCGATACTCATTCTGAAGTAATTAAAAAACAAGTAATATACAAAAAAAATTAAGTCAATTCCTACTTAGGTCCACAAAGAAAAATTAAAATAAATAAATAAATAAATAAAAATACAAAAAAAAATAGTAAATAGAAATACAAACAGAATTTTTTAAATCAAAAATTTAAAAAATTTTAATATGTGAAAAAGCTGTATTCACATCAAGTGTCATCCACTACAAGTTTAAAAAATTGTATTTGAACTTGAGTGGATGAAAAAAAGTATTTTATTAACGACTGAAAATTTGAACAAGATATACGGAGAGAATGAGCTAATAGTAGGAATTTAATAATTCCGGATATTCATTTCGCAAACGAGATAGTGAATAAAAAAAAATCTCTTTGAACAGGTCGCTCTAAATAAATCTTTCGGAACTATTCTCGTCATTTTTTTTCGGTTTTGCCTCTGCTTAGTGAAGTAAAGTTTCAGCTATCAAAAAATCATCTGATTCGGGCAACTTTTCGCAAACATGTAGAAGTACAGCGAAGTAACAAGATACAGCTCCGTTGACACTATATTAAAGCGCCACGTGATTTTTGCGCAAAATAATTCTATTGGTTAAACGCACTCTTCGCAAGGGTATTCGTTTGGACGCTTTTTCGCTGGTAACGTGAAAAGCGCGTTCGTCAGCTACGTTTCGAGCGTAGTCGTGTGTAGCTTCTGACGGTCAACTAAGTAATTCTTTAAAGATATCCGAGTTCCGAGGTTTTGAAAGTATCAGCTGCCATCGGAATGCTTATCCATCATCGGATTGGAACTCCCGGTACAAGAGGCCGTTTCGAATATGGAGTAAGTCCCGAGAGCCCAATATTGTTTTCTCGTAGGGCTATAGATCAAAACGTCCTGCCAGGTAGGTTTACTATTTGAAGACTTCATTATGTCAATTACGTATTTAATGTCTGGCTCTTACAGATGATCTTTCTTGCTTTCTTCATCACTCCATGAGCATGGATCAGACCATTTTGAAGTTGTAATTTCATGTGCGACCGGCCCAACCAGCTCAAGGTTAGTTTCGGCTCTGGAACAATATAGGCAGCTTTCTGGGCAGAATTTTCTAAACAGGGAGTTGGAATTTCTGTGCGACGATCCTTTCCGACGACGGATAGTGATGTCATATTCCTGCAATTACTGTATTAATCTGGCTATTTGGCCAGCGGGATTCTTGTAATTTAAGAGACAGGTCAACGGTGCCTGATCTGTGTGGAGCAGGAATTTTCTGTTAGAGGTAATAGTGAAAATGTTCTATGAAATTCAGGTTAGGAACTCTTTTGTGGTGATACAGCCATTTATCTCCTGTTTAGACAAGTACTTGCTCCAATATACCGCGACACGTTCTTGAGTGTTTATTTCTTGGTACAAAATAGCAACGACATTCTCATTGCTCGCATTTGTGTCAAGAAGATTTGTCACAGATGTTAAAGCCTCCTTCAATTTGTTAAATGCATCCTCACATTCATTTGTCCACAAGAACGTTTGCTTGCTATCTGTCAGTTTGTGAAGAGATCTTGTGATGGAAAAAAAACCCTCACAAATCTTCTAAACTACGTGCAAACCACAGGAAATCTCTAGCCGATCGACATTTTCGAAGCTTCTCCAATCTTTAACTGCCTACATTTTTTCTGGGTTCGTATGCACGCCTTCGGCAGAGATGGTTTGGTTTATTAGATTACGGCAAAGCACTCGAGGGCTATCTGCCTTAAGGGAGGGATGCCTTCGTGGAGGACTTTTTTAGGGAAGCTGGCTCGTATACACGTTACACATGGGGAAAACCACGAAAACACCCATGCAGCCAGCCCGTCGGCAGAGATGACGTGTTCGTAGTAATGCACTTCGTGTCTGAACAATTTCCATTTGACACTGGATTATCTTCTTTAAATTTCTGAAGCACCTTCCTAGTATTTTCCAAATGTTCTTTAAATTTTTACCAGAGGATGTTGATGTCATCCAAGTGTATCAAATAGGCTTCGTAGGAAAAAACTTTCAGCCAAATTCGACAAATTTTACGTTTGAAATTTGTCGCGAAACACATCGCCTGCTTAGCGATATCTCGCGAATTCAGCCAGATAGTCCTTTACCTTATTGTTAAATAGACCTACTCTTGTAATTTTATTTTTCCTGCAGAAGTTCACTTTTCTTGAAGCCGTTCATGTTATATTATACAAAATTCCTAACGATGTTTAAGTTCGCAGCTGAAAGCAGCATCGTTTTCGAGTCTTGATAATTTCTGAATAATCAAAATTTATAAATGAGATGAAATGAAAAATTAGATCAGCGTTTGTTTAAAACGAAGATTGCAATTTAGTATTCTAATTTTCTAAGTTTCAGAAATGCAAAGGAAGAAGAAGCATTTTATGGATCACAGTTTACAATAATAGATATGCAGAGACAGGACACAAAATGTCTCCAAATGGTCGCAAAATCTGGCGATATTTGGAGATTTTTCGCTAAATTTGGCTAAAAATATTAGTTGCCAAATCCACTGCCAGCTTGGCGCTATTTCGCTAATTTGGAGAGATAGCCATTTACTTCAATGATAAATGGACTTGCATCTGTAACCTTATTTTTCAGGCGAGGCCTTTCATGTTTCATTTTACAAAAGATACTATCATTTTGCATGTAATTTCACTAAAGTTATTAATATATATACAAAATTCGTAACAATTTGCTAGCGTAGAATCACTTGCACTGATTTCGCAGTAAAGTACTCTGAACGTTAGGGACTGCAATTAATTTGATTGTGGGGTTAAAAGTTAATATATAAACTTAAATCTAAAGTTAATATATAATTAGTATATCAACTTTAGAGGCAATACATAATTAATATCATAACTTTAAAGATATGTTCTAAAGTTTATATGTATTAAATTTAGCAGTCCCTAAAGTTAAATTAGAATTAATTTGATTGCAGACTCTAAACTCAATATGTAAACTGCGACGTTTGCAAATTATTCCACATTAACTAGTCTAAGCCATCTGAATATCAAAAAAACACGAATAATTAGATAAAATTTTTCCTCTGTAAGCCAAATGCTTACATTTGTAAGATAAGTAGCAGAATTTCATTTTTCATTTATTATGTTTTATTTCAACAAAGGCATTTAATAAAGTAATTTTAATGTTGATTGATAGAAACTATTTAAACAAACTTCAGTTTTAATGGCGGATATAGCAAATAAAAAATGTATATTGTAATACATATGAAAGAAGAAAATGAGATTTAAACCTTAGAATAAAAACACACGAAAATAACTCTGTAACACACGAAAATAACTTGAAACGCACGAAAATAACAATAAAGTAACACACGAAAATAACTTGAAACGGTATCTCCTTTCCTAAAAGGAAAAACCACAACATGTAAAACATAAAGAGAAACCGTAATACTAGCAAATAGGTAAATGCAGTTGCTTTGAGTATTATAAAACAAATACTCTTTAGATGGAGGACATGGATATAACATCCTCGGTTTCCTTAAATTTAGCAAAGTTTAGTTAATTTCTGCAAAGTAAATGGTATTTACTTACGAGTGAACAGCAGCAGCCAGCAAAGAATTTCCAGTACACGGTCCATATTAAATTTGCTTTCTGGAGATTTCGTTGTGGTTTAGGAAGGCTATATCTGTTACTATATATTTTCCCTACTGATCACCCCAGTTGTCTACTGAAATGTCAACGAAGTGGAAACTAAAGTAATTCTTAATACGTAAACAGCATACAGAGCTGAAACAAGATAGATGAAAGAAAAGAGCTCATGGATTATTTATATATTAGTTGTGGTGTCCTACATTTACAGTCGCCTGTCAGTGAAGAATTGACAGATTCCCAGATCTGCATATTCATACAACACATATGGCAAATATTAAACAATGCTCTACACAAGCTCGATGGTGTATTAGATGAAAAATCAATATTTAGGAGTTTCAATAATGGCATCTGTTTCGTTTTTGTATTTCGACATTCATGTCATATGCGTATGTATTGTCTAATCAGTGAAGATTATTTTTTTCAATCACTATGTTTAATGCCTACCTAATAAGTGCGACTGACAAAATACACGCGGAGGATTTAGAACAATGTACAACCCAAATGCTTCTATCATCGTACGACAGAAGCTACATCTGTTTAAAGAAGCCAGTCAATGAAATGTTTATGAAAGAATGAAATAAATTTCAAATTTTTAAAGTTAACAGTGTAATTCGTGGAAAATTAAACTGCATCAAAATATTGCGTTCTTTCCGGATGTGCACATTTGAATTATTGCGTAAAATTACTTTTTCCCTATCTTAAGAGAATTTGCTTTGACTCTCTTCATAACGTTTGCATTGTTTCTTTAAAAGCTGACACTAATGTAAATTCTCTTGATTTAACTCAATTTTTAGGCTACGTTTTTTTCACTGCAGTACCTACTATTAATAATCTCTGCAAACTTTCCATGCTTCTATCTTTGGAAATGTTTGAGGCATTATTCGATATAGATACAATATCAGTTTTCTAGTTGTTGCATAGTCTGTCTTTCATATAACAGCTGACTATTGACTCAAATAAAACAAAACAAAATACTTTCATTTTGGTGATGTTTACCGCGATAAACTGAACGGTAATACAAAAGTAAATTGTCCTTAATGTTATTTGCATGCTTTAGCATCACTACTTAAGTTGATTGCCTGCTTTATTTTGATTACTTGTTCCTTTTCAACAGGAGAATGGACTTAAACGAATGAAATTCAGATAGATTCTCCTAACAATGTTCTTCCATAAAAGAATCAAATATTTTTAATACACATTTAAATAAATAAACCATTTATATTTCTCTGACAAAAAAACTTGCTATGAAACATTGCTGACTCCGTTTACAGCAGTGGTACCCAAACTTTAACTTGACACGACCCAATTTATAATTTTAAATTTAGGCGAATCACAGTTACATATTGCACTTTTAACAATTCAATTATAAACGCACATAATGCATAAACTATAAAAATTTGCTGCATATATTAAAGAAATATATAAAGAATAATAGTAACTCTCATATATAAAGCAAGAGTGTAATTATGTTCTTTATATCACTATTTATTAAAAATTCAGTATGACGCAAATTGAATACAGGAAAAGCATATTTTAATGTGAAACTTGATAATGCCTGTCTTCTGCCAGTTTATTTGTAATCTGATGTATATAATTAAATTGATGCAGTCATTCAGACTTTCTTTTCTGGATCGTGGATCTAAACTTTGATTTTTATCACGTTCATTACTGAAAAACGACTTTTGCTGAAACAAGCTGATAGAAAGCAGGAGTTTAACCTCTGACAATTTTTTCCTAAACGTGGTTATTTTTTCTCATCTACAAATATTCAAAATTCGATTTGTGATATTCTTGGTTTTAATTGTAGATAAGACTGAAAAATAACTTTTTTCCATTTCTAGATTAGTAGAGTTTTCATTTAACAATATTTGCAATTTGTTGCCATATTCACAAATCTTATAATCAACAAATGGATTTGAAATGAATGAAATAATGGGCTGAAGTTTACGAAATCAGAAAATATAATTTCTAAATTATTTTTAAGCTCGACGAGATTTTCAGAATATTTAATTGTTTAAGCTTTTTTTAGATTTCTTTATATATTTCTCCAAATCAGTAAAGTAGCAATAAGTTACATTCCTTTATTTGAAAAAGGCGAAAATTTAATTTTGATGAGTTTATACTTCCTATTAAATCAATAATAGAATTTTCTTTGTCTTGATGTTCAAGACTTTAATTTATATATTTTGGTTTTTGTTGAAAGAAAGGCTAAATCAGATAGCTAGCTATGAGTATTAATGTCTCAAGTTTCGTTTCTGGATTCTAAAAACTGTTTTGTTTTCGGAAGAAGCTGTAAAAATCATTGGACATTTTTCTTACTGAGCCATTTATTTTCAGAATGTAACACTAAAGTTCCATACTCAGCATTAAGTTCATAAGAGGTTACTTGAACAAGCTATACTAAATAAAGCAGGCAAGAAGGAAATTTACTATTTTTAGAACAACTTTTCACGTGTTCATAACGTAAAACTTTTGTGCACGATGCCTGCTGCTGTATGATGTAATGGCAGTTAAAAAAGCTTGGAAAGTAAGTATTATTCTTATATAATATGATGAAAACAGCAGCAGACAAATCATGGCAGGTTCGCCGTGTATTGCTATGGACACAAGTTTTTGAAGCGCAACATTAATTTCGGTACATGGTTTTAATAATCTGATATTTGTCCACTCCGCGTGTATAGCCTTTTAATGGCAAAACTGACAGCATATCTTTATTTACTGAGTAATCTTACAGGTAACACGCTTATAAAAATATTTATTTGAGGCTGCATTGCAGATATATGTTGATTCATCACACTAAAAGCTAATAGTACATGTTTTTGCAAATCAACTTTTACTTTGTAAGATTCTCACTAGTAGTAAGTAACCTTAAGAACTAGTTAGCGAATAATCGCTTAAGTTCGTGTGACAAGAAACAACAAGATGGAAGGGTAACTAACCCTTTATTATTCCAATAAGATTTAACAAAACTCCGTCTTGGAGTGTACAATAAAAGCCGACACTCGGGCTTGAACTTAAGAGACTAAGAAATAAACTGAAACTAAGATTAACTAAAGAGATATAACCGAAGCTATCAAGATTCTAATCGAGTTGGCCCCTTAACTCTATTTGACTCCGAAGCTTTTCAAGGGCTGAGTACGGCCGAGCGTAATAACAGCTTTGAGAGAGAGCAGCCAAAAGGCAGACGCGCACAAATCAGAAACTCTGATTCTCTATAACTCAGCAGTCCAGTCCAGTCTATGCTGGTATTGCCGGTGAGTAAATGAGACTTTACCGGCTCCTGATAAGTTTGCCGTGGTGGCACCTGAAAGTTGTAAGTCGTTGACCGGTGAGAGTGGAGGCACTGAGGTCTAGGAGAAAGAGAAGGCAACCATGTGTCGCTGAGGCGGATAACCAGACAATTTAGCTATGGAAACGGGCTGATTGAAAGCAAAAAGTAAATTCGTGAAGAATATTTTCTAATAAATAAGGTGAAAAATGCATAAAAACATAAATGCAAGAGATATATACAAAATATAACATAAATGCAGTACAATGAAAATTAATAAAAGATCTGAGTTATATAATAAAGCTGGAATAAATACATAATACATAAAATAAAACATGATGAAAATTAAAATACACAAAGGCAAAGTTATAATACATTATATACATTACGTCGGAAAGAATGTACCACAGAGGTGGGCCGCCCAGGGTCTCAGATGTCTGTCTTCTTGCAGAATAGAGTAGTTAAAAACTTGGAAATTTGTCATATAAGTGCATTTAAGGGCTTTTTGAAAGAATTTTTCGTTGCTTTTGTGGAGGTATTCCTTGATATAATCGATATTGAGGTCTTTATGCAGCGTAGCATTTGAGACATACAAATGAGCATTTGTAAAGAATCGAAAGTATTTATTTTGGATGATTTGAAGCTTTTTGATATCCTTGTCTTTGATAGTGGCCCAAGCAAGGGAGGCATAACAGAGAATTGGCCGAATAATGGCAGTATAGATATGGAGTTTTCTTTTTAAGTCAAGATTGGAGTATTTGCCTATGAGAGGCATGAACTGTTTCAAGTTACCGTAGGCTCTATTGCGACAGATGTTAATATGATGAGTCCAGGTTAATCTACGATTGTTAGTGACTCCAAGGTACTTCGTTTTGTTAACTATGGGAACTTCAGTGTTGAATATCTTCAAATTAGAGATGATGGGCTGTCTTGATTTTCTATTTCTACTGTTTATGAGTAACTGGGATTTGTCTGCATTGATAGAAATCCTCCATTTGACACACCAGTGCTCAATGTGAGGGATGATTTCCTGGATTTTGTTAACAGAAGTATTTCGGTTCAGTGACTTAACGGTGTGATAAGGTCGCATAAATCTACGACGAATGATTTCAAATTGCAAATTCAGAGTGCAATATACGTGATGAAATCACGTGATTAAATATAATTATTTAATTGTTTTTAAAATAATATTAAGTTGTAAAAAAATAGTTGTTGTTAAAATAATATAATTGTTGGCAATGTTAAAAACGCAGGCTCGAGAGCCACGTATGGCTCTCGCACGATTGAGTTATAGAATTTGATTTTTGAAAAAAGATAAGTTTCTCTCTTGTAGAATTAAATGTAGCCATATTTTTGCGTTCAATAGAATTTTTATGCTGTGTTTTGTTTTCAATCTGATGTCACAACCCAGGATTTGCATAGCGGTTTCGGCCACTACACCACAGCAGTAAATATTAAAAGTTGGTGGCAGCTTTTAGGGATTGTTCCTGAGAGTAAATTTAGGAACGGACTTTTTCGCCTGTGAACTTGAGTTTTATGTGAAAAGTCACGACTTTCTTCTCTTCAAGAACGATCTAATTTTGCGTGCAAGTACAGGTCGCGTGGTGAAGCCTCTTCAGTGACAAGTGACAGTGTGTCAGAAGGGAACGCCGGAGGAAGCGTGATCTAGAGCCGCAAAATAGTGAAATTTCCCGGAAGAATATCCTGGTAGTGCCAGGAGAGTCAATCGAAGGCGTCTTCAAAATTGGTGAGTACCATTTATATGATTTTGGAGAAGTTATGCCAGTTATTCGAGACTAGGCTTATTTTGGATATAGAGCAGGAAAAGGTTGCCTCTTAATTAGCCTTTTTTTATAT